TCCCGCGGCCGCCGAAGCGCTCGGCAATGACGCTGGCCTGGTCCAGCACCGAGGGTGGCAGGATGCTATCAGCGGCTCCATCTTCTTCTTCCTCCTCCTCCTCCTCACTGCTCAGCCCCTGCAAATCCTCTGCAGCGCGCTCCTGCTCCCCCTCCCCGCCAGGCAGCACCGGCACCGGGGTCCCCGCTGAGGACGGGGCTTCGGGTGCCCCCAGCCCCACGGGGTGCTCCGCGGTGCTGCCGGCCTGCGGAGAGGTGGGTGGGTGGGTGCTGGGTCCCCCGGGAGCCCAGGGTAGGGGCTGCAGGGCCGCACTGACCTTCTCGCAGCTCCCCGGCCCCCAGCTGCTCGGCCGTTTGGGTCCCTCTGGCACCGGTGGTTGCCCCCCAGCCTGGGCGAGAGTAAATGTGGGGTGTCATGGGCTGGGGGGACACCCTCACCCTGCTGCGAGCAGGACTGCTGCTGGAGGCGAGTCCTAGCCAAGCCATGGCTGAGGAGCCCGCAGCAGCCCCAGCAGCAACACAGGGTGCCCCAGGAAAGATTCAGAGTGCCCTGGGAGCAACACAGGGTGCCCCAGGAGTGATGTGGGGTGCCTTGGGAGCGATGCTGAGTGCCCTGGGTAGCAGGGCACACTGGTGGCCCTCCCTGGGGTTTAGGGGGGTGAAGTAGGTACCTGCTCCTCCTGGGGCTCCACTGGCAAGTCCCCGGCCCCAAGCAGCTCTTCCTGGCGGTCCTTGCCCAAAGCCTCCTCCTCCTCTTCCTCTTCCTCTTCTTCCTCCTCCACCACGTCCTCAGCCGCTGTCCAGGCTCTGGGGTGCTGGGGGGGCTCCCCCATCTCCAGGAGAGCCCCGTCGCTGCCAGCGTGCTACTCGGGGGTGAGCGCTGGGCTCAGTGCCCCGTGCCCCTCCAGCAAGCGGCGTGCTAGGGCTGGGGGGCACCGGGCACCCCAACCCACCCTGCGCCCCGGCCTTACCTTGAGCCCTGCCAGCCAGGAGAGAGAAACACGGAGGTTAGGGGGGGCAGCACCCAAAATTTCCCCCCCCCAGCCCCTCGCCCTCCTCCGCCCGCCCCGCCCGGGCCCGGCGCGCC